TTTCTAATGAAATTTTTCTATAACTTATTATGCTTAGCTTTCAGAAGACATCTTTCACTATCCCAATGTAACTTTAGATTTCAGCGTCACAGTTTCTGTTCTCAATTAAACACTTTGCTGATAATTAAATTGTTGTACTTTTTGATTTTGGTATCTTCAATTTGTAATTTGCATGTTGGACTGTTTCGTTTACTGACAACCATGGATTCTATCTTCATGTAATTGATGTTTACACATTTCTTTTCACTTTCTTTCATTATTTTCTGGAGGAATTATTGTAGTTTCCTTTCTATATCTGCTATCAGTACTGTGCCATTTGCATATCTTATGTTGTTAATATTGTGGCTGCCAATAATGAATTCTGGTAGGACTTTTAATTCTCGCAGAATTGCCTCACTGTATAGGGTGAATAAGTCTGGTAAGAAGATACATCCTTGTCTTACGCCCTTTCAATTTTTGTATATTTACTCAATTTATTTTCTATCTGTATGCCATTCCTTTTGCTGACAATCATGCATTCTGTCTTCTTGTAATTGATGTTTAGTCCTTTCTTCTTGCTTTCCTTCACAGCTTTCTGTAGGAATTATTGCAGTTTCTGTGTTTGCTACCAACACTGTGTCATCTGCATATCTTATGTTGTTAATATTGTGGCTGCCAATAATAAATTCTGGTAGGACTTCTAATTCTTTCAGAATTGCTTCACTGTATAAGTTGAATAAGTCTGGTAAGAAGACACATCCTTGTCTTACACCCTTTTCAGTTTTTGTATGCAGATGGTTTGCTGCCATTAAAGGTTCTAGATTATTCTAATATCCTTCCTATATATGTCATAGTTATGTAGCAGTTTTAACAGTACCTTGTGATGTACTTTAAAGTAATAACTAGAATTATAAAAGCAATTATCATCTTCACCATCTTTATCAGTACCATGACAGGATGTGGTCATAGGGATATTGTGCAGTAGAACACCTGACAAGCTCCCTCCATATGTCTCAGTTGCGTGCCACTCTGAAGGATGTTCCAGTTCACACAGTGACATTGTCAGCCCATTTTATCCTCTGTCTGCCTCCTCTTTTGGTAACTTTGTTGGGTGGCAGTGAAAAGATTGTTTGCTCTCATGACGTTTCCATATCATTCCAACTTTTCTTTTGATGCTAGATATGAAGTCTGCCAACAGGCCCATTTCTTGTATGACCATTTTATTCTCTGTCTTTATTGTAACCTAGAAAGGGTTACTGAATGAGGAATAACCAAAATGGGGGTTGGAAATGAAATGGTAATCTTTATAGCATCAACAAAATACAATACTCGCCAGCGGCATGAAGTAGGTAAACCACTGCTAGTGGTGGACTACTTAGACAGCATATTACCCTCACTTACAATAGTGTCCAATGTATTTATGAAGATTGGAACATACCTATTTATGTTCAGAGGTACGGTATATAACACTGTGTGTGTGTGTGTGTGTGTGTGTGATTCTCCGTTTCCTTCTACAACCTCATGATTATGGTTCACACAAGAAAATGAGTCATAGAAACATTGAGAAGAGCATATAAAGTAATTTATATATATATATATATATATATATATATATATATATATATATATATCCACAAAATTGAGAATATGAAGATTATTATTATTATTATGAAAATAATGCGTTAAGTAAAAATAAACCCAAAAATAAAAATATTGTAACCTAGAAAAGGATACTGAATGAGGAGTAACAAAAACGAAGGTTGGAAATAAAATGGCAATCTTTATAACATCGACAAATTACAATACTCGCCAGCGGCGTGAAGTAGGTAAACCACTGCTAGTGGTGGACTACTTAGACAGCATATTAACCCCCACTTACAATAGGGTCCGATGTATTTATGAGGATTGGGACATACCCATTAGTGTTCATAGGTATGGCATATAACAGTCTAACTCTTCTTTTGCTTAAGGTGGTACTTTGGTAGGTTGGCAGTGGAAAGATTGTTTGCTCTTGTGATGTGCCCATACCATTCCAAATTTCTATACTTAGTGCGAGATATGAAGTCTTCAACAGGCCTGCTTTTTGTCTGATGCAGTCTATATAGGAAATGCTGGAGCACTGTTGAATTATTAGGATTTCTATGTATTCTTCATATTCTGAGACTTCCCAACTTTTCATGACAATGGTAACTCAGTCGTTCTTGAAATCATTCATTTGTGCAAACTTCTGCAAATATTATTTTCTTCTTATCAGCCTATCTATTTTTATGAAGAATAACTTCTATTTTCCTAAGAACTGCTATTTCCCCAAGAACTTTCTAGAACAGATTTCGACTTAGATACTTCTCCAATCGCTATAATCATGACACCTTCAAGTCAAGAGTCATCTGTTA